CATATCTCAGTGGTACTAGAATTCATGCAGGAACAATGAGCCTGATTCATTATCTGACCCCAGATGTGCTTTACTGCTCGCTCCTCTCTGTGTGTGTCCAAATGGAAAGAATACTTTTCATACTTTTGGAGACAGAGAGAAAGACTGACGGCTGGACACCCACATTCATTTATCTCAGCCTCCAAGTCGATTTTTCTCTCACACATTTGATTCTTTTCCCCATACATAATGTATTTCCTTTTATGCTAATTACTGGTTGGAATTCATGTGAGGATGGGCACTAATTTGTGTGTGTGTGTGTGTTTGCCCCTTCACCTCAGCCCCAGTTGTCGACACACCACCTCTGCATCACTGTCATCCCATTGGTCGTCACATATGGACCCCCACTGCCCCGCATGGAAGACCTCCACTGTGCCCTCTGACCCCGATGCACCTCCCACCAGCCTTATAGGGAGCGCCACTTCTGCTGGAGCCCACACAAGCATTTAAAACACACATTTTCACTACTAGGCAAGGTAACAAAAATGTCAGGACTTTTGTCATTTTAAAGTACAAACATGAGGAAAGTTAGAATTGAGTAGGAGTTGTAGAAATGTTGAAGGTTTGTTGATTTATCAGAGTTCTCATCACATCCAAACACTCCATCCATCATAGACCTACAATTCCGAATGAGGAGTGCCTACCTTGCTGCTGTGTGCAAGTGATGGCTGCAGCCAGATTACATTCCCCTCCATTCCACACAGTCTTAGGACACTGGAGCAGGTCTGACTCCTCTCCCTGGCAATGGACTGCCCTCCAATGGAGTTTGGCCATGCTTGGATGAAACAGGGGAACTGCACGTGCACGACCTGAGATCCTGGAAGGAGATGTAGAAAGTAAACGACAAAGTTTACCTTATCTGAAATAGGTTTTTTAACCGACAAGTGACGTTGAACCGTTTTATCGTATGAGAGTTTTTTCAAGAGAAATGTAACCTAATTAGGGGATTTTGGCCCTCATGTTTAAGTCACCTGAGGTAATTGCTGCAGCCAGGCTCAGGCAGCCCATCTTATAAGAAAAGGTACAACACACGTGTTTACATGGTAGCAGTAACCTTGAGCCATAAGTATGTTCATGATCTGCCATTGGAGGGCCAATGCGGTCAGCAGTTTTACTCAAAACAGCTTCAGTAACTGGCCACGTGAAAGTCATCACCAACGATTCCAGCTGACATATGGCTGACATTTGCCCCTTTCCCTTTCCGCTGTGTACTTTCATTGACTCCTGTGTGAATATGCACACACAGGCATGTGTTCATGTCAGCATGCGTGCCAGTGTTGGAGTTAGTGTCAACATGTGTAGTAAGTGCACAGAAGGTCTCTGTTCTCCAGGGAAATAAGACGCTTTCTGAATTGAGAAACTGACCCCAGCTTATTAACACTGTCAATATGTATGATCTGTCTACGTTCTCCCTGTGGACCCGACAAGTCAGTGGCTTTTCTAGCATGAAAGCACCTTTAAATTCAAGACCATAAGACACAGTCAAGAGAGTAACAAAGAGAGCTGGTAACAAGGTAAATAGCTGAGCACTGAAGGTATTTAAATACCGCTGGAGAATGGGGGGTTGGAATGCAAGGGTCACATAAGAAAGGTACAAGGACTGTGAAGAGAGTGCATGTGTATGTCTAGGTTGTGGGGAAATGTTCTAGCATTCCCACCAGATTTCTATCACACTCTTACCATATGTCAAATCTCTGTAGGCAGCTTCACATGTGAATTTATGTGGCAGATGGTGATTGTACTGGCACCTGTGTCTAAAAAAATATGTAAGCGGGGGAGGCAGACAGAGGCCAGCAAATAATCCATGTCTGAGTGCATGTGTGTGCATGGGTTCTCTCTCACCCCTTGCCCAGCTGTCTGCAAACCACTGCAGCGTCTTCGTCCCCCCAGTCATCGCTACAGACAGACCCCCACACTCCTCCAAGATACATTTCGACCCTGCCATCTAGCTTGGTGCGGCCTCCTTGCAAACGTACAGAGCCTGGGATGGAAAGAGAGTTGGAGAACAGACTATTAGTACAGCATATTCTGACAACACTGTAGGGTTGGCTATTGGTGCTTTCACACAAATATGTACACATTTATATTTCTTAGAATTAATTAGGATTGATGTGGATGCATTCACTTTGAAGGTAAACGCAAATAACAGAACGGCAATTCTGTCAAGTTCAGAAAATTACACAATTTAGGGGGAAAAAAAACATATGTTAAGTTACAATGATATCAAAATCTCAAACAATATCTATTCTCATAGCACTTTATCAATATTACGTTGATATATTGTCAAGCCCTAAATGAAAGTGTTAAAAAAAGAGGTAAAAGAAAGGCAGCCTTTGTTTGATTTGGTCATGATGACAGGGGATCACACAGGCGTATACAACTGTGTTATAAATGATCCAATCAATCTGTCTGTGTCAAAAGGGCTGCATTTAAAAAGTATCATTTTACATCAGTTCATGATATCCATTGACATAACATGTTGTGTGAGTCGACACATCACAACCAGTCTATATAAAGAAAACACTTATTTTTAACTGTTGTTAAAATACACTATAACACTGTTTGACTATGTCCTTCTGTCCGTCTTTTGTCCTCAAACACGCATGGTGCAAGAGGATTTGGGATTGAGTGTTTAACAGATGTTGCCTAAAGTGTACAGATTTTCCTCATAGACTTTTTCCTTCCGTGCAGGTTGTTTATTGATCGAGTAACTTGAATGCTTTGCGCATATCTATTTTTACATGCACATTATGTAGGTTATTAGGATAACCGGGAATGTAAGGGTGCATTTTCAAACACACATGCATAGGGGAGTCAGTCTTTTCCTTACATGAAGTTAAAACAAAAATAATCTGGACTCCAAATATAAGGTGTGCAATTGTTCAAACATCTTACATAACTGGATCAATACATCAATTCCATGTATCAATTACAGGAGGAGGATTTATTCATGATGTGCCAACACACTACAAGACTAAAAATACCACAGGCTGCTTCTCGTGTGCCAGATGGATATCACACTTTTCCTTTCACCACTATATGTCATACTTCTCTCCCTTTCATCAGTCCAAAGATGTAGAGTCCTCATTGCCCTCACTTTTCTTTTTAGCAACACTAATTGGCTCAAGCCTGTGTACTTCATAGGTTTGGATAATGTGGTGTTCCCCATGTCAAACTATTTTTAATATGGTAAGAGACAGTGTATTGAGATGACTCACTTGCTTTTTGTGATCCTTTGGAATGTGTTATTCCACCCCATATAAGCAAATACCTGTGCACTCATTACAACACAAATGTGCTTAGACTTGCTATCTGCATAGACTGCTCTCACACCTGGGACACTGAAGGTGTGTCCTCTAATTACTTCAGCATGGGCTTCCTGAGTTGAACACAATTGAGCTAGAACATTCTTGCACACAGAGGTAAAACAAAAACTGCTTTTCATCAGCCCAAATTCATATTAATAATGTCCTAGTAAAGTACATCTACATCTTATCTTAGCATGTTATAAGTTAAAGCGACTTTCTAGATATTGGGCCACCTGTATTATTTTTTAGATTATCATTCATTTCATTTTGGCAAATTTCAATATAAATTCATAATGTTGTTGACATATTCCTACAGATTATGAATCCCCCCAAAATAGGTAGGCTATTGCTGTGTATGGGTCTTCGTGTTTACCTTGTTTACAGTCGCAATAGCCCCAGTCAGCTCTGCCTTTGTGGTTCCTAAAAAAGCACCAGGGTCGGATCCTGCCGTCCGGGTTGCGGCAGTGGTTATGCTCTCCAACTCCTTTGCCAGGGTAGCGCTCCTTGAAGCCGGCCACTTCGGTCCAGTTCATACACCGGGTGCCGGACTCGGTGACGTCTATCGCTCCCCGGTAGAAACCGTCTTTCCCACGGCTCTGGACGCAGTCAGTAAACGGCAGGATGAATGACGGAACGCTGCTAGAATAACAGAAGCCGCTATTCGCAGCCAAAAGCGCGGCTGTTAGAGCAATAAATGCCAAATTCATGGTAGGTCTCTGACTGTAAGGAGGCGAAGACAGTGCCTTCTATCATCAATCGCTCCTATCATCAGCTGAGGAGGCGATTTCCAGTCAGGCTCATCGCTTTGCGGTGGGACGAGAGTGTGAACCGGGAAAGGAGAAACGACGCCGATCAATGAAACTCAGATTTGCGTGGGCTAATGGCCAGATTGCCCCCCAACGAACCAATAACGTATAATCGAAGTAATTTCCCCCATAATGCGATTTGAAACCATTTTATTATATTTGGCAATTGTAGGCCTATCTCTAATACAAAATCTGTAATCATGTTTATAGTAGGCCTATCACAACCAAATTCACAGGGAATAGAGAGGGACACTTATTGTAAATTGTAATAAGGCTATTGCACATATTAGCCGGGCCATGTAAACCGTGGCATGGTATCCATGCTCCCAAAACATTAAAAGCACACTTGCAATTGTTGAAACAAAGCGAAAATGAACTAAAAGATTGTGTTAACAGTTTATTCTGGCGTAGGCCTATGCATTACACTTCTGATTCACATCATAAGTTTAAGCAATTCCCACACCATATTTAACCTATAGGTCTAGTATCCATATTTTACTTAAGCCTGGCAAGTAAAAAGCATTTACAATTAACAATTTGTTAAGGATCTTCTTGTTGTGGCTACATTAGTGAAGCACACTATCTGAGAGATGCTGCAGTTTGGCGCAGAGGCAGAGCGGTATTGGATTGCATGATTTTGCTTGAAGTGCTCTCTCCCTGAGTAGTGATGACAGGATGGAATTGACTAAATAGCGCCTCCAGCGTCTACAGTATAGTATCCTCTGATTGGAGGAGGCATCAGTAAACGTCAAACAGAAGCGTCCTACCGGGTGACATCATCACGCAGCATCCATTCGATCACAAAAGTGTTCACTCCTAATGTTAACCGGCGTACGCCGTAAGTGGGTTGACGGAGTCGGCACTGGATAAATAGCGTTTGTCGGTTAACCAAATTGACACAATGAAAGTGGACTGCCAGCACCGTATACAAAATAAACGCCTCAGTATACAACGCAAGGCAACAGCCACTCCCAGATGTCTGTAATGCCTTATTGTAGCTGCTTGCTCCATCTACAGTACACCAAGGCAGTGACAAACCGGAGCGTCCCGGGGCCGTAACGAGTGCACCCATTGTTATTTTTTAGCGGCTATTACACATTGGCCGATTGTTGGCTACCATAATAGCTTGCTAATCAACTTTAACTGTGTGTATCAACGAGCAAATGTGGTTGATAGTTGATTAGAAACTATACAAAGTGAAGAAAATGAACAGTCGACTGCAAGAGATTCGCGAGAAACAAAAACGTAGACGCGAGCTTTTAGCTCAACAGGCAAGTGGAGCTTCTTGGTGATGTTAGCATGTAATGTTAGCTAATAGTTCACAAGTAATCTAACTGAAGCTATAATGGTATCTGTTGACCATCTATGGAGCTGCTAGATCACAACATGTTGTTTAAATTACGCATTTTTGAAAACGTGGTGGACAAGGAAAGAGCCATGTGGCACCAATACATGCATAAGGGAAGATAACATAGCTGAGTTATCTCCGCATTTACATTGTTCTCCATCGAGTGGACTCCAGGCATAAATAACATCCCTGAAACATTGAATGTTAATTAATTGTATCTATATGTTAAGCTATTGTTGCAGATATAGTAGTCAGACTATAATGAAAATGGTGTTAGATAAAATACAACTTTACTTTAAATAAGTTGTTGAAGCTGCTGCTACACAAAAGCAGTAACATGCTGAGAGACAACTCTGAGCTAAACAATGCATTTTATAATAAAGGACATAAATAAATGACTTTCTCCTTTTTCTCTAACCCCAGTTGGGAGCTGAAAGTGCAGACAGCATCGGAGCTGTCCTAAACAGCAAAGATGAACTAAAAGAAATCGAGGAGACAAGAGAGACATGCAGGTAAGCTATGATCAAAAACGGGTTGAACAAAATCCTGGCGAACAGGTTAGTAACAATATAAATAATAAATTAGGGGTGCAGTTGTAAGCATAAGAGTTAGTTAATTTAATTTACAAATGGATTTTAATGGCATGAATAACACAAAACACGATACAGAGTAGCTGCCTATCCAAACCTTTTTAAGGTTTTTGTTTGATCTGATCCTTGCATTTATGCACACATTGATCATATTGTATTCACTCACTCCTCTACACACAACAGCCCACCTCATTTTCTTTAAAGTATTGTTATATGTTTGTCCCGCTTGCTTAGACGTTTTGCTTTGTTATTGTCAGCGCTAAAATGTGGGTTTTGTGCATTAATGTGGCAAAGTATCTTGGAATGTATCTCATATTTGTTGTGTCTTGCAGGGCTTCATTTGACAGTTTAGCCGTACCTTCCAAAAGGAAGGCCCTGACGGAGGGAGAGGACACAGAGGAAGATGTTGAAGAACCAAAGGTGAGCATTAGGAATCTACATGGGTTAAAGAAGCATCCACCCTATCATATGATTATAAACCTGATTTAATATTGCACTTTTCTAAACAAATGTGCCAGCAATTTACAGTATGAAAACACACTTAGCTTTAACATAACACCAAGTTTCCTAAATATAGTGATGCTAATTAGTCGCTTTTCGGCGCCTCCCGCTTTTTTAATGCTGATTTGGGTGACTTCTGTAATTCGTGGAGAACCGAAGAGTGTGGGGGGGGGGGGGGGGTGTCCAACTCACGGACTGATGGACAACTTCTCACTTCAAAACATAGACTTTACTTGGGGGCGACCGCCCACGTATAGCCTATTAACGGCCGCCAAAGTATATTTTTGTATCCATCAGCGAGCACGACTAGTGGACAATGATCCCTCGCACTACGCCTCCTCTACCTGTGCACTCTCCTATCGCTTGAAGGGTCTGCTAACAAGCGACCAACAGAAGACAGTTAATTGAAGCATTATACAGTTCTGTTTTATATGAGTGTTAAGAGATGTATCCATAAATCTCTTAATGTTGCCCTCAAAGCGCACCAGATTGATGCATTTAACTTCAATTTAAAGAAAAAAAAAAAATCTTCCTGGGGGAGCATGCCCCTGGACCCCCCAAGAGGAGGTGAGGTCCCCCCACAAATAAACAGGTTCATATGGATAGGATACTAGATAAGTTTGCACATTCATTATATATAATGATAATATATATGGTTAATTGCGGAGGACCCCGTTTTGTGTCCCCCCCCACTTCTTAAACCAAAGTTACACCCTTGATAATATCTACCTGTAAAAACCCTTGATTTCTAACTTAACATCTCTGTCTCCTATTGATTTGAGTATATTATAAAGAATAGCCAGTTAATTGAAGCATTATAGTGCAGGCCTTTGTCAGATGGTATATTACGCTGTTTTTTTTCTGCTTCGAATAGTTCTCTCTTTTTTCACCATAGGTGTGTTTGCACCACTGTAAATAAAACATGAGAAGGAGACAACAAAACCAGATAAAAAGTTGTTTTTTTTGCCGCCACCCACAACTGTGATCTCTCAAGATGCTGCAAACATTTTTCTGTTGTTTCCATGAGTTTTAAAATGTAGGATCTATCACATTTAAAACTTGAGGTTATTGTAAAACATTATTGTGAACAGTTTCACCCATTATATATGTATATATATATATATATATATGTATATGTATATGTATATGTATATATATATATATATGTATATATGTATATATATATATATGTATATATATATATATATATATATGTATATGTGTATATATATATATATATATATATATATATATATATAAGGGTGTCAAACGATTAACATTTTTAATCAGATTAATCACAGCTTAAAAATGAATTAATCATGATTAATCACTAGGGATGCTCCGATCGATCGGTCACCGATCGATATCGGCCGATACTCACTCTCTACCGATCGATCGGTGCTCTCTAAACATGCCGATCGCGAGAGCCGACACTTTTCTCTGTGTGCGGCAAAACAAGCTCGCCAAAATGGCTTCACCGGTCTGGCATTATTTTATGGTGTCCGAAAAAGACAGTAAAATAGCGGTATGCAACGTGTGTGTGAAGCAGAAATCCTGCAGCTCCGCCCGCCGGACAGGTAAGCGCAGCGAAACACACACACAGGGAGAACCAGACCGCAGTTCATTTCCTCATATTCCAAACGAGAAATTACGGTAGCAAATCACCCGGTTCTTTACGACCAGAACTATTAACGGGATACAAACCGGAGGAACCAGATATGGAGGGAGGTGGCAGAGACAGTGGGTGAAACTGGTAAGTTTTCGCCTGTTTGGGGAGTTTACATATATATATATTGCTCGCATAAAATCCCCGGGGTTTTTTGCTTTGTATGTCGGGGGCGGAAGATTCATGTGATTGGTTGTTGGTCGCGTTGCTCGCAAAAAATCCCCAAGCTTTCAGACACGCCCATCTCCAAGATTTTCAAGATTTTTGAAAAGCTGCTGTGTGGACGTACCGTAAGAGTTAGACCTAACACACTTAGCTATTTTATCTACCTCTGGAACAAGCTAAACTAGTTATTATAAATATATTTATTCTTCATTGTCAGGTCACTCATTACTGGATCAGTGAGCTGCATGAGATACTGACAGGCTGTCAGGAGAGGGAGAGAGGAAAAGAGAGCGCTTCCGCTAATTTCTCCCGTGTTATTATCCAAAGTGAATGTAAACTTGAATAATGTACATCATTTGAATGTAATAATTAAGTTGATTGTTGTTTGTGGAAGCTCCAGTGAATGAGCCCCATTAACTGAGTTATAAACATCACTTTAAATGGAAGATTTAAAGTGATGTTTAAATCTTCCATTTAGGCCCCGCCCACTCGATCGGATCGGCGATCGGTATCGGCCGATACTGATTCCGGTGATCGGCGATCGGCCCCGAAATTGGCGATCGGAGCATCCCTATTAATCACCATTCGAACTATGTCCAAAATATGTCATTTATTTATGTATATTGTTGTGGGAATGGAAAGATAAATGAAAGAAGGTGGATATATCCATTTAACATGTTTATTGTAACATTTTTCTGTGTCAAAATGAAAGAGAGCACCTATCAATCATCAAACCGTGGGGTCTTAATTCATTACGTGTTGATTTCTATCAACGGGGGAGTACTTCAGGAAAGTCGACGGGGGGGGGGGCTAGTGGAGTACTTCATGACCACAGAGTGTGAACGTTGTGATCAGCTGTTTTAGCGCAGTTCTCCAGTGAAGGGGGGGAGTCTCCCTCCGCAGCCGGTTGGCGTAGTTTTGACACAATTCTGTTGTACAGACCGACGTTAACAGCAGCCCTGTCTGTGCACACGGAGACCGACTCTGTCGTCCGGTGATCTAACCGCCTTCTGGAAAAGCTTCACAAGTACGTCGGTACGCAAATGCGCTTTGTGACACAAGTGACGGTACGCATTTCAGATTACGCACATAACCTGCGTACCAGTTATGTGCACCTACTACAGCAAAAGTATTCTCCGTCGGGACTTCCTGCAACAACACCACGCCGTTATCTTGATTCTGATTGGCCAGAAGACATTATCAAAGATGTTCTATTGAGAAGACGATCACTACGTGACAAAAGTTTTTAAAACCGTTTCTGGTCTTCGGTATTTCCAGACAAGTGGCTACTGAAATCAATCTTACTAACTGTGGAGGCCTACTCCCACCTGTCGAGTGCGGCTGTACTGAGGTGTTTTTTCCTCCGGAGACGGAGCGAAGAGACGGAGCGACTCCACCTGTTGCTGCATGCGATCTGCGATTTACGGAGGCCTGCTCGTCGCGAAGAGACGGAGCGGCTCCACCTGTTTGCTGCCTGCGATCTGCGATCTACGGAGGCCTGCTCCCACCTGTATAATACGGCTGTACTGGAGAGGTTTTTACCCCGGAGTCGTCGCGGAGAGACGGAGTGGATCCACGCTTCGGGCTTGGCCTGCTTCCACCGGGCGTGTGCTGCTGTGCGGACGAGGATTTTACCACCGCTGGGGCCTGCTTTCCACCTGTCCTGATTCTGCTGTTGCAGAGGCCTGCTTTCACCCCGGGGATACCACGGAGGGACCGGAGCACTTCCACGCTGCTGTTTTCGCCTGTCCTTTGCTGCTGTGCTGATTTTGCTCCAGGAACATCGCGGATACTGTGTGCTGGTCTGGGAAAATGGCCCATATCGGGATTCTGCTGTGCCTGTTAACTGTTTTGGACTATGAGAAGATCTCTATTCATTCTGAGAAGACTACTGGATTCAGGTCTGTTCTGCTACCCGCAGTGGGCATCCCCTGCAAAGGTTCGGATGTGTTGCTCAAACAATTACCGGTTGCCTTGTCACAGTCAATCTGCTCGACAAAATATGTTTGTCTTTTTTATTTTCCTGCGATGATGGTTCTTAAGGACTGCTTCTTAAGCTCTAATCACACTCTCGCAGACTTTTCCGGTGTTTCTAAATTAGATGACAATGTATTTGTGTCGTTTAAGAGGAAAAGATGCCTGTTTTTTGTTGTTGTTATTACTGTCAGGAAATGTACAACCTAACCCTGGTCCGCCCAGTAGTAGTAGTCAGATCGCTACTCCTGCTGATTTTAAAGCTAGGTCTGGGTTGGGTTTCATCCACTTGAATGTGCGCAGTCTGTTAGGTAAACTAGATTTTGTCCGTATCTGGGCAAAATCGACTGACGCTGACGTCATTGTCTTATCAGAAACATGGCTAAATAAATCTATTTTGGCCTCTGACATTGCCTTAAATGGTTTTAATGTGTATCGTACAGACCGGCCTAATAAAGGTGGTGGCGTTGCCATTTATGTTAAGAATAAGTTCAGTGTAACCACATTAGTTTCCAAATCGATCAGTAAGCAATTTGAATTTTTAGCCATAAATATAGAAGTGGCAAAGGGTCAACAGGTCATGGTAGTGAGTTGTTACAGACCCCCCTCAGCTGTCAAAGACTCCTTGTCTTCACTAGCAAATCTTTTATCACAACTAGACTACAAGGAAATAGTGCTACTTGGAGATTTTAACTGGGATTGGTTAACTGCAGTGTCAGAGGATTTTAAAAACCTTTGTATCTCTTTGAATGTTACTCAGATTGTTGACAGTCCTACTCGCCCAAATATTAAGTCCCCTAATAAATCCTCCCTAATTGATCTCATTTTAACTAATGTTCCCCATAAATATTCATCTGTGGGAGTATTTGCAAATGATCTGAGCGATCACTGTGTTGTAGCCACAATTAGGGACACTAAGGTCCAAAAGGTTAAACCTCGCATTATCATTAAGAGAGACAAAAAGCATTTTGTTGAGCAGGGTTTTGTGCATGATCTGTTTGATTTTGATTGGGTTAAAATCGATCTGTGTGCTGATGTGGAAACCGCATGGTCTTATTTTATCTTGGTTTTATGGAGATCATTGATAGACATGCACCCCTGCGTACATTTAGAG